AACATGCATGCTCTTCAGTCATTTTATTTTGGATGTTGTTGACATAATTGATTTCCTTTTTATGTAGCTTTAGTAAAAATCTTACATAAACAATAATTGTCTTTATCAACAGTTTTTGCTGTTAATGCCAATGTTTGACTTTGTATAATTATACAGATATCAACTCTTTCAATTCCAAAAATGAACATGACAATATTTTACAATAGGTAGTCTAAAAATTTTGGAACCAATAAGTGCCTTTACAAATACTTGAGTTTTGGTACATAAGAGCATATCACCACAAGACTTTAGATTCTAATCATACAATTTAACTTACATTTATAATTGTTATAAAAGGCATAATGGTACCACAAATTTTTTATTTTTTTTAATCAATGTACACCTAACACAACTTGTTGTAGCTACAACAATCAATAGTATTTAAAGTGCATATGTCATTTAACAAGAGAGCTATTATTTGATAAGATAATAAAAATATATCAAAGATGGGTGTCAGTCATACTATATCTATACTGTAGACATGAAGAATAATGCAGCTTACAATAAATTATGAAATCAACAGTGAAAATAGACTGTTATCACTAACAATAGGATTTAATTACAAAACAAAAAAAATTTTACAATCTACAATCCAATTAAATTATAAGCACCTTTGAAATAAAATTACTTTGAAGCTGAAAATAGACTTTAACAACAAAAATCATTAAACATTTCATCTTCATCAATTCCTTCAAAAATATTTTGAATAATAGAGATTTCATTATTTGAATATTGATCTTCAGATTGAAATTCATTTCTCGTCCGTTTAGTTGGCGGTTCTTCTAAGAAATTACTAGAAACAGTAGGAACATTTTTAAATAAATTATGAGCTATAGGAGTTTTTGGTTTAAAAAAACTTTTGACATGCGTTGATTTATCAGGAGTATTATTTGTGTTTTCATAGTTGGCATTTGACGGTTGAGAACTATGATCGGTCAAAATGTTGTGTAGTTTTAAATTATTAAGCGCATTCATTCGGCTCTTATTTATCACTAAATGAGAATTTTTATTTAACTCTTCCGCATTAAATGCGTTCCATTGTTTGGCTCCAGTCACAATTTCTTCATTTGTCATAYCCGTTGTTCGAGTAACAATTACTTCTTGAACATCCTCTAAAAYATATATACATATTTATTTCTGATTAGTACATTGCATATCTAAATACAGTTTATTTATGACATTAATACCAGAAGAATAACTGTAAATGGCAACTAAATGATCACTAGTAATATTTAGTGTAAATCCTTTAAGTATTTTTTGACATGATACACCAACATTGGATAATATCAAAACAGCTCCTAGTTTTAATTGACAGCTAAATTGGTTCCAAACTGCTCTATGAATTGTTCCTCTAATATATCCTGTTTTGTCAGCTAGTAGAACTGTTGGATCTGGCGATAAACAGTCAATTTCTTTTAAAACAGAAACAAAGAATGGTATTTTATCTGTGAAGAAACGACCAGAAGCAGTGTATGGGAGCAGTTTCTGTTTTATCCATGCCACATTAAATTTATCCAACAAAATATCAACATCAGTAGCGAAAAAATCTGATAGAAATTGTTGATATGGTGACGAAGAAAAAGATGAGTCATTTGCTTGAATGCACAAATTCTAGAAACAAAATCAATAATACAAACTAAAATTAATAAAATGAAATTTTGCATATTATACATAAAATATTATTGATGAGTATCTATATTTTAATGTAATTATAACCCTAAAGAATGGTTCACATTTTAACTATGCATTATTGTTTAAAAAAATATTGAGAGTAATTACCTCATCTTTGTTATCATTTTCACCAATGTTAATTGACCTATCCAAAGATTCTAAGTTTGAAGGATCTTCTGAATAAAGGTCTTCCTGAAAATATAATTAAGGGATACTATGTTTAAAATAAGTACTTCTAAGGTATTAAACACCTTTTTTTAACAAYAAATAAAACTGTATGTATTTACGTTTTCCGAAAGAAGACCAGCAGGTCCAGGAAATTTTCTAGAGGTTCCTTTMGGAGTCATCATTTTTACACTAGTAGTAGTTGTGTTAAGATGACTATTGCAATTAGTTTTATTAAAACCTGAAAAAAAGTGTTTGACAATTAAATATAATGTAATATGTATTAAATGTAAAAGACTAAATTAAGAATAAAAATAATTATTATTTAAGATATTTTTGAAAAAAAAAAAATAATATATACAATTAAGATYTTGTAAATTTACTTTTTWTATTTGTAGATTTTTTCTGGTAAGTTTCAGAGTTGACAATTGAAACCTGAAATAAGCAATATACATAATTGTATTTTGAATATTTTAATAAATATTGATTTACGCAATTATAATTATTTATGGACAATAATGTCAAGGTAAATTTAAATTAATAACAGTGTCGGCCTGGCCAGGGCAGCAAACGCTGCCAAGGCCCTCACTTTTTTTTTTTTATTCTACCATAGGCACCTCAAAATGATAAAATAGTGATTCACAATTGAGGCCCTAAAAAAAAAAACCTGCCTAGGCCTTTCATATCCCAGGCCGACACTAATTAATAATAATTTAAAGATTGATTAATTTATTGATGGTTTATGTATAGTAATAATGTTTTTAAACTTTAAAGAATAAAACCTCTTTATGATCATCATTAAAATYCAATTTAACCAAACACCCATTTTCTTTTAATGAACTCTTAGGACATTGTATTATATTGGATGTGTTGAAAAAACTCTGAAACATAAATTAATTAAAAATAAATAACATAAAGTTACTCATTGATAGTACTCCTAAAAAAATGTTCTTTAATATATTACTTCATCGTCAGAATCAAAATCATCATCAAAATTGAATTTTATTTTATTTGGCTGACTTTCATTAAWTGATTCAGTAAGTTCTGATTTGGATTGGGCGTCAAGCATATTTTGTGAATTCTTGAAAATCAAGTTGCATAAAAAATAATTTATTAAAACTTATTATTCTTTTGGTTTCCAGTTTTTAACTAGAGTATTATTGATTTACTTTAGTAAGTTRGAGTATTTAAATCAARATATACTAACATTATCATCTTAGTATAAATAACATATGAATATAACACTTACATCATTATTTTTAATTTGTTCTTTTGTTCTGTTATTTTTAACTTCTATATTTTCAGAGTGTGAAGATTCCAATTCGAAAACTGAATTTGATACATTTAGGAATATCTGTTAGATAAACAAATATACTTAGTAAATACAAAATAATTAAATCAATAATGTACTTAAACAAAAGTTATTATACTTCATCATCATCTTCAAAATTCGAAGTAACAGGATTCAAATTTGATGATTTATTTGGTGATGTACTAATGAATGGAGGCATCTGGGTATTAAGAAATACCTAAAAAAATAATAGGTAGATACTCATAAGTAACTTTTAAATGTAAGTAT